CTGGGTTTTAAGGCTATGTGCCCTACATTGAGGAGCCCCTGTCTCCTCCCTCCCTGTTGACTCTCACCGTGGCCTCTCTTCCTTTCCCATCTGCTGTGAGGTACACGCAATGCTTTGGCGGAGTCCTGAGGCTGAGTGCAAAAGACTCAGAACTGTCTCTGTCTCTCAGGAGCAAAGCTCTCAGCTGTCCCAGCAGCTTCCCGGCACTCAGCCCAGCAGCGAAGGCAGCCAGAGGTCTGACCTCGGATAAGACGGCTGCTCTCCATTACAAGAAAGACATGGTGCTGAAGGAAGCAGAGGGGAAGTTAATTCTAGCGGAGTGTCTGGCACTCAGCAGACTCTCAAAATCTGCTGAACGAGAGGCATGTCAAACAAAACCCTGAGAGGCACCAGCACAGACAAGAGCAAGGGAAGATGTTCCAAGGTGGGGGAATGGCGAGAGCAAAGATTGGGGACCCAGTCACCAGCCTGGCTCAGCTCCTAGGGACAAGCTGGTGAGCCCTGGGGGCTGACCAGATTTGGTCGCCGGGGGCATGGCAGGGTGACCTCTAACCACTGAGTCTCTGTAGTTGGCCCTTCTCCTCAGGCCTCCTCAGGCCACGCAGAGGCAAAGGGTCATCCCAGGGAGAGCCAGGGGCCGTAGGGCCACCAGCCAAGAGGAGCAGCTGCTTTCAATAAGCCGCTTGGCCCTGAGGCCAGGCCTGGAAATGTCCCTGAGTCAGCAGAAGCTGCCAGCCCCTCCCTGTTGAAAAGCTAACCCTGGGGACCCAGCACCCCACCCTGCCCTACCTTCTGCTAGAAGGTCCATGCGCACATTGGACCCGGATGGGGGAGGCGGGGCATCCCTTCACAGAAGGGCAGGACAGTTACAGGACACAGGGGCCCAATGCCCTGTCCAACTGTGCGATATCTCCACCCAAATCCTGGGCGATTGTGGGCTTCCGTCTACTCTCCACCCTCCAGGCTTTTCACACTCTCCTCCCTCCTCCCAACCACCCCTGCATTCCAGCGGGGCCAAACTGCCTGCTCTCCATTGCTTAAAGTGCATGTGACCAAACTCGGCACACGCAGCCCCCCTCTGCTGCTGTCACACGTGTGTGTGGTGTCTCTCCCTCTCTCCCTCCAGCCATGGTGAGCTTCCTCTATCAGTCATTTCTAGAGATGTTCTTCTCCCCCCTTAAAACGTATGTGCTGCAAAATGTGACCTGCTCCGTCCCAGGAAGATGTTAAAGCAGACTCTGGGCGGGGAACGGCTTGAGGTGGACTTGTCACGTCCACGTAATAAACCCAAGAGAGGGGGTACGTGAAGCGGGTGGGAGCGACCTGGATTATTCGTAAAATCGGAGAGGCGATTTTCACCTTCCTGCAACTCTGCCGGGTCCCCCCAACCCCACCCCTCGGCCCCCACCCTCCGGGCTCTCTGGGAACCAAATACTCTCAGGCCCTGGCCTCCCCCCTGGCGATTTAGTGGTGTTTGATCTCACCCTCTGCCGGCTTTTGTCTCCTCAAACTAAGGCATCACAATCTTTGCGGCCTGTCCTCTCCCGGGCCCCATCTGGCAGGATGAAACGGGGATGCCGCCGGGCCCCTACAGAAGCGATCATGCCTCTAAGCTCCGGACGGACCGTCGGCTCCCAGGCCTGTCCTCTGTGCCCCTTCCCCAGCTGGACTCCTCACGGGAGCATCCCCGGGGTGGGCACACCTCGACCCCTTCCTCCCTCACCCAGCCCCAGGACCTGGGGGCAGGGGGCCGCCGTCCCCGGGAGTTCTGGGTCCTCGCGGCCGCGCGCCCCCCTCCGCGCCGCGCCGCGCCGCCCCCCTTCCCGGCGCCCCCTCTCGGCAGCGCGCCCCCATCGTTTCGGCGCGGGGCCTCCGCCCACCAGCTCCACCGCCCCGCTCTGCGAACGCGGGGTCTGCGCGGCCCGCGGCCCCCGGCGCCGTCTGCCAGCCCGCAGCCAAAATAAACAGCGCAAAGTCACTTCCTTCCCCCAGGGGGCCGCTTTCACAACGACGGCCCGCTCCGGTCGCGGCAGGAAGTGGCTTTTTCTGGGCCGGCACCGTCCAACCCCACTGGCCCGCCCGCGAAGAGCCAGATTCAGGACTGGAGGCGAGGCGCCCAAGTCACCTGCCCAGCAATGCCCACCGACGCATGAAAGCACGCCCCTACCAGTGCTGAGCCACGCTTGTTTATCTGCAGGAGGAAGTCGCGAACGGACAATTTCATTACATCGCTGACAGGAAAGCCGTCTGGGGCCCCAGGCACAGCGCCAGGTTGGGTATTCCATACCTGGTTGATGGAGGATGGATGGATGGCTGGAGAATTCCTTTATTAGGAAATACGCAAATGTGGGGAGAGCCGCTTTTTAAAGTTTAGTTTTGACAAAGTGGCCTCAGGTGTGTGGGGGCGAGGAGTAACCTAAAGCTAAAACATTAGATGGCCCCTGGCTCATTGAAGAGTCAACGGAAGAATTTCCTTTGGGCCTTTCTGTATTTTCCAATTTTCCACACTGAAATAATTTTTTAAAATTAGATAGCCACTCACAAGATAGAAATGTGTAGAGAATTACACTGCATGTAATGGTTTGTTTGCTAGAAACTGAGGTTTCAAATATAAACATTCCATTCACTAGAAACATTTTGTGAACAATTTCTAGATAAGTCTTTCAAATAACACTTTTAAAACCTGGTAGGGATTCCCACCCCGCTGCCCGAGAGGTCCTTATTGGCCTCCGTCTCTGGCCTCTCCACACGCTGGGCATTTGCCTGGCATAGTCTGGACTCACAATAAATGTTTGTCAAATGACAAAATGAATGCAGACTGTGGAAATCTTAGAATTCATCTTGTCAATCCCTTAGAATAGTGAAATCAAACACATAGGGAGACCAGACTTGAAAATTCCCTGAGCAGACAAAACCAGTTTAGTCATAAAAGCAAAGCTTAATTTAGCTTATTTTGCAACACAAGCAAATCTAACTTGAACTGGGTCAATACTTAACGTGTGCCTCTGAAAATTATAAGCAAAACTTAAATGGATCCCCAAAATTCATACGAGACAACCATGAACCATTTCCCTTTCATTTAAGAAAATTCTAATATTAGGGGTGCCTGGGTGGCTCAGTCGGTTAAGCATGGGACTCTTGGTTTCAGCTCAGGTCATGATCTCACGGTTGGTGAGTTCGGTTTGGGAGTTCGAGCCCTGCATCGGGCTCTGTGCTGACAGTGCAGAGCCTGCTTGGGATTCTCTCTCTCCCATTCTCTCTGCTCCTTCCCCACTTACTTTCTGTGTGTCTCTCAAAAATAAATAAATAAACTTTAAAAAAAAAGAAAGCTCTAATATTATAATTAATCCCTGTGAAGTATAAACAGCCACTGCCTCCACACTATCTAAGTGCTTTATAATAATATACCTCTGAGCCTCATTCCATGTTTCGGTTTGAGTCCTCCTGGTTTGCAATCTTTGGTGTGTGCACAAGAAACTTTTACTAATTATACTTCAGTGATTCATTCTTTTTTCTGAAACTTTGACAAGAATGTGGAAACAGAAACATGGAAAGCCTAACTGACTTGTCCAAAGATCCTCATACAACTGGAACCATGATCTTTTCATTTGAAATACAATTTGTTAAAGTCCTAAATGGCACAATGCCAGTATTTGCTTAAATAGGTTGGCCATATAATTTATTGTCTAATATTGAGAATAAAAAGGGGAGTTCATGATAATTACACATGTACCACAAGATTGAACCAGGGCTGTCCCAGGCAAACTAGGACATAACGTCACCCTGCACTTATGGAAAGAGACACAAATAATGAGATGTAAAAGTATTGAAATATAAAAGTTAATGTTTACTGTGGGCTTGGTAGGTACCAGGTGCCAGGTTTCAAGCCTTTTCTCGTTAATTCTCATAGCGGCCCTCAGAAGTAGGTAAAATTACCATCTCCACCTGACAGAAGAGGAACATAAGGTATTAAATGAGAGATTAAGACAGCTTGATAACAGCTTGATAAGGGGCAGAGCTCAGAGGGGAGTCCAAGAGGACCGGGTACAGAGCTGAGCACTGAACAACTTATTCCAGGTGCTTTAAATTGATAACCTACAGGTGGGTTATATTTGGTCATCACAGTGTGTGAAAGAAAAGTGAGGCAACATTTAAAACTGAAGAGATTTCAGAGGGTCCCCTGGCTGGCTCAGTAGGGCATGCAATTCTTGATCTAAGGGTTGTGAGTTCAAGCACCATATTGGGCATGGAGCCTACTTAAAGAGAGAGAGAGAGAGAGAGAGAGAGAGAGAGAGAGAGAGAGACAGATTTTACATAATAATCTGGATTTCCAGTTTCCAGTGTGTCCACAGGCAGCCAGTCCCGGTTCATGGGTGGAGCTGCCCACCTGGGAGGGCGCTCACTAGCTTGCCACAGTCCCCACCCACCCCTTTTGCAAACCCCCCAGACCCCAACCCAACACTGAGGTAGAATGAAAGCAGCCACATATTATCATGCTTGCACGACTGTTTTTATCAGAGAGGAGAAATGTTCTTCAGTATCCTGGTCTCTATTAAGAGTGACCAGAGGGGGCGCCTGGGTGGCCTGGTCAGTTAAGCTTCGACTTTGGCTAGGGTCATGATCTGGCCGTTCCTGGGTTTGAGCCCCGGGTTGGGCTGGGGCTCTGCACTGACAGTGTGGAACCTCCTTGGGATGCTCTCTCTATCCCTCTCTCTCTGCCCCTCCCCAACTTGCACTTTCTCTATCTCTCAAAATAAATAAATAAACTTAAAAAAAAAAATGACCAGACAGCTATGCCTATTTCAAAACCAAAAATAAAAAGGGGGGGAGGGTCCTCTAAGTGAGGCTCTATTGCAAGCACAATGTCCCTGTGACATGTCGTATCCCTTTGGTAACACATTTCTGAATCGCAGCACAAGACTTTGAGAAATCATGACACATTTCATAATGACCCTTTTCCTCTGCTCTCTGGCAATTTCCTGACCTTCTGACGTGGCAGCAGCCAAAGATGACTTGTTTGGTTCTAGAAGCAAAGCGTGGCACTCTTCAGGATCTCCCTAACACGATATGCCGAAGATCAAATGTTTGCCGGCTTCTGGAATGACAGGCCGAGAGCACCTTGCCCACACCTTCTCCGGGAAGCACAGCGGTGGAGCAGTTAGGAGATGAGCTCTGCAATCTGTACCCACCCAGGTTCAAATCCCTGTGTGGGCCCTGGGGCTGGCTGCCTCACTTCTGCAAGCCTTGCTCTTGGAAGGACATTAATAAGGCCCGTCTCCTGGGTTTCTGGCAGGATTATGCAAGAAAATGCTTGAAGATGCTCTGTACCTGATGATAAGTCCTCGGTAAGTGGAAGGGCCATAACTATTTTTTGATATTTAAGCAAGAGCCTCTGCCTTGACTGCGGCTGTGAGCTCAATAATCTTTGTTTTGCAGCAGAGAGCCTGGGAACCAGGCTTAGCAGATGCTGCTATCTGGATGAGAGGAAACGATAAGAGGAAATAAGGCCAAGGACGAAAGTGTTTAAGCTGGTCTTCCACAGAATTAAAAGAAAAATAAATTCACAGTCCAGACGCAGGATCCTCCCCCCAATTCCCGTGGGTGCCTTGGCAACCACCATTTGTTTCTGGCCTCTCAACTTTCGGCCCCTCCCCAGGTGTGCCTGGAAGGGAGATACAGGCGGAAGAGGCCGCAAAGCGTGTCAGGGCAAAGCGAGGGGGGGGGTCTCTGGGAGAGTTAGGGCGGCCTGGGGTGTACCCTGGTCCCTACCACATTCCGGTTCTGCAGAAATAAACTCCAAGGGCCGTTGTAAAGGGAAAATGAGGTCACAAAATACGCAGCTGGAAGGGAGAGTGTGGAAGGGAGTGGGGTAGCGCCCACACCCCTCACCCTGGCAGATGCTGGGACAGCGGGTAGACAGAGTCTGCAAGGGACCTTCTCTGGGGCTCAAGCAGTCATGCGGCTGCGGGGCCCGTTACCTACAAGGAGGAGGCTGGAAAGGAAATCTCAGATCTGGCTCAGGAGTTCAGGTTCTGATCCTGCCATTACAATCTCAATGACGTTAGGGGACTCTGTCTTCTTACCCGTAAACTGAATTATAAAATATTCTCCCTGACTCTTCACAGACTCCTCCTGGGGAGATCTACAGGGAGAGCAGTCTATGGAATACTGACACGATCCTTTTAGGGTGTGTCTCCCTCAGTGACCAGTTCCTGGAGAACAAGAGCTGTGTCTCATCCACGCGCCTCCTGAGCACATGGCATACAGCAGGTGTTCCCTACGTGTGTGCTGAATTGAACAGGACCAGGGGAGGGAGAAGGCAAGCTGTGTCCTATGGGTAAGGGTTTAAAATCCTCTAAATTATACCCTCTTAAAAACAGATCTCCATATGGACAATGAACAGAAGGGAATAAAGTGAAAACACAAAATTATTTGTTGTGACAGGAGGTTGGGATTACACATAACTTTCGATTATATTGTTACAATGTTTCTAGAGCAAATAAAACTGAGGGAAGGAAGACACAGGAGATCTTAACACCTTTGAAGAAACCAAATATTTCTGTATATCCCACAGAACCTGCCTCAGTGTCCAATGTTTGTGAATGTAACTCGCTTTGCCCTGGACGGAAACAAAGGGTCTCATACACAACACCGCACTATGGCCACCACCATTGTGACATCTCCCAGACCCACAGTAACACACTAGACCTGACCTACAAAGGAATGTCTGTGCCGGTCCCCTCATATTACTTCTCTTTCCCCAGCCTCCGATGCCTTTTCCTGATTTCTTTCGTACATTTTTTAGAACCATATAAAAAAAAAAAAGTACTGCTCCCACAACCATCACTCTCTGATATCAATTTAAAATTAGGGGCGCCTGGGTGGCGCAGTCGGTTAAGCGTCCGACTTCAGCCAGGTCACGATCTCGCGGTCCGTGAGTTCGAGCCCCGCGTCAGGCTCTGGGCTGATGGCTCGGAGCCTGGAGCCTGTTTCCGATTCTGTGTCTCCCTCTCTCTCTGCCCCTCCCCTGTTCATGCTCTGTCTCTCTCTGTCCCAAAAATAAATAAACGCTGAAAAAAAAATTGTTAAATCATGGTGTGGTGGGGTTCCTGGGTGGCTCAGTTGGCTGAATGGCCACTTCTTGATTTCGGCTCAGGACGTGATCCCAGGGTCATGGGATCGAGCCCTGAGTCCAGCTCCTCCAGGAGTGTGGCACCTGCTTGAGATTCTCTCTCTCTCTCTCTCTCTCTCTCTCTCTGTCTCTTTCTCTCTCCCTCTGCTACCTTCCCTGCTCACCTGTGCTTTCTCTAAAATAAAAATTAAAAAGGAAAAAGAAAACAAGATGTATTTAAAAATAAATAAAAAATAAACAAAATCATGGTGTGGTTAAGAGCTCTCAGGCTCCAGATACAAGGCTGGGTTTGAATCCCTGCTCTCAAACTGGTTATTTGACCTCTTCATCCCTCAGTATTGTCATCTGTTCAGTGGAGAAAAGGGTCAGCCTGTGCCAGGAGCCGTGCTGGGTACTACCCACCAGGTAGTTGGCAGTACTGGTTGAGCCCACGGACAGAAAGGCCTCACCAACCTGCCCAGCAAAAAGTGAGCTTATGGAAGTAGCAGTAACCTCCATGGTAGTAGGAGGGTGACTTTCTTGGAGGAGAATTTGACAACTTTTATCAAAAGCCTTCAAAAGCACAAATGCAGGGCACCTGGCTGGCTCAGTCAGTGGGGCATGCGGCTCCTGATCTCAGGGTCATGAGTTCAAGTCCCATGTTGGGTGTAGACACTACTTAAATAAATAAATATTTTTAAAAACTAAACTAAACTAAAATATTAAAATAAAACAATCTCACTTCTATTTTCCTTAAAAATGTCTATGTTACTTATTATTTTTGAGAGAGAGGGACAGAGCACAGGTGGGGGAGGAGCAGAGAGAGGGGGAGACACAGAATCCGAAGCAAGCTCCAGGCTCTGACCTGTCAGCATAGAGCCTGATGCGGGGCTCAACCCACAAACTGGGAGATCATGACCTGAGCTAAAGTTGGTTGCCCAACTGAGCCACCCAGGCACCCCTCTATTTTCTTTTAAATCAAGTAATGTCTGGGAAAACATTGGTACTTTCTTGTTCTTAAACTTGAGTGTCTAAATTGCCTGGGGAGCAATGTAGGTGCCCAGGCCTGGCAACAGACCTACTGAATTGGAACCACAGAGTAAAGGACTATCTGGATTGTAAACAAGATTCCCAGGCACCCCAGAGTTTCGGAACCACTGTATACACCTAAGTGTCAACAGTGGTTATCACTGACTTAAGAGATAGCTGGTGGGTTTTTTTCTCTTCCTTGCATTTTCTACAATGAACATATTTGCTAATTTTAAAAAGATAATGTGTGTGTGTGTGTCTGTCTGTCTGTCTGTCCTTTGTTTCAAATGTAACCCTAAGTGACCTCAACCTATATGTGCAGAGTTCTACACTAAACTCAGCCCATCTGGAAAGGGAGATTACAGAAATAAACCAGAAGAGACGCTCCCCGGGAAAGTCTACAGGTGGGGGAGACAAAACACCTAGTCCTTGTGCCAAGGAGCAGAGACTCGTAACAACAAAGAAGCTGGGTGAGTCCGGATGCATTAAACTGATGCCAGTCAAGCCACCTCCCCAGCCTGAGCCAGGATACCCATTATTTTGTAGATCCAATGTGCTAGGATGCATACAGAGTTATCCACAACAGCGAGATGAGAAATGACCCAAATGTCCAACAAGGGATAAGTTATGGTACAACTATACAATGGAATCCTACCCAACCAACAGAAGCATTGGGTAGAAATACATCAATAACGTATTGGCATACAAAAGAATGTTACAAAACAACATGAAAACATTTATGTCAAGTTTCGTAAAAGAAGGGGGAGAGAGAAGGGAGGCAATTTGGAAGGATATTCTCCAAAATGTTAACAGTGGTTGTTTCTTAGTGATGAGATTTCAGGTAAATTTTCTTTTTTGGTAACTTGTTCCTATTTGATTTTTTTAATGCTGTAAGTAAGTGCAATTTTTTACAATCACGGAAATGTATTCCTTTTTTATTAGAAAGACAGAGAAAGCATGAGTGGGGGAGGAGTCAGAGAGAGAGAGAGAGAGAGAGAGAGAGAATCCTAAGCAGACTCCACACTCAGCACAGAGCCCCATGCAGGGCTCGATCCCTCTACCCCAGGATCATGACATGAGCCGAAACTGAGTCAGACGCTCAACTGACTAAACCACCCAGGCACCCCAAAATGTATTTTTTTAATGTTTATTTATTTTTGAGAGAGAAAGACACAGAGCATGAGTGGGGGAGGAGCAGAGAGAGAGGGAGCCACAGAATCTGGAACAGGCTCCAGGCTCTGAGCTGTCAGCACAGAGCCCGATGTGGGGCTCGAACTCACAGACCGCAAGATCATGACCTGAGCTGAAGTCAGATGCTTAACCGCTTAACCGACTGAGCCACCCAGATGTCCCTACGATGTATTTTTTGAAGTAATCTCTACACCCAAAATGGGTTCAAACTCATGACCCCAGATCAAGAGTCACATGCTGTGTGACTGAGCCAGCCAGGTGCCACCCAAATAAAAAATTTAACTTAAGAACAAACTGGAAAATACTTGTAACAAATGCAGCAAGAAGCTTATGTAAGTCAATGAGAAAAACACAGACACCTGCATAATTTTAAGCCGCTTAGATCTGAAGAGAGAAGATGATCGAGGATAGGAACACAGTTCACAAAGAAAAAATGTTCATGTCTAATTAGGCCACGGAACATCTTTACAAGCACTTGGAATACTAGTAATACTAGTAATGCTCTTATTTGCTGGATCTGAGCACTGGCTTCATGGGTGTGCTGTTTGTGAAAACTCATTGAACTGAACATTTGTATGTTCACTTTCCTATATTTATATTATACTCCAAGAATTAAAACTTTTAAAACCAAGGGATCGATCAACACAAAGTTCAGGGCAGAGTTGGGTTGGGGGGAATGAAGAGGAAGACAGATGAGAAGCACATAGCTAGACAGAAGTATTGGAATGTCCTCTGTCTTGGATTAGGTGGTGGGTTCCCAAACGTTCATTATATAGTAATCAATACTTATTTGTAAAATAAAAGAAGACCATGGAAAGAACCAAATAGGCCAGCATTACATCCCTGGCTCTGCCACTCACCAGCTATGTAATCCTGGCTCTGAGTGTTTCTGGCTCAATTTCCTCATCTGTGAAAGGGAGGCATAGGAGATTTAAAATATTGTATACGTGGAATTGCTTAACACTGACTCTGGCCGACTTGATGCGCTCAGTAAATATTCGTGTGGTCTCCATTTCCCATTTGTTGCACAAACAGTGTTATACAGAAACGTATACAAGTTTAAAAAGCACAAAGCCTTCCAAAAGCCCGTCCCCTTAACTGGCGCCCTTCTGATGTGCTCTCCAGTATGGGACGTACGTAGTGCTACTGAGTGCTTCTAGAGTGCTGTGTCCTGCTGTTGTCTAAGTGCAAACTTGCACTTCAGCGTCGTGGGTCCTCTCCCCTAGCCCCCTTCTGTACACACTCGACGGCTAAGTACAAGGTAGAGAGGGGCAGCCTCGCGTTTGGAGGGGCTTTCCAAACAGGCTCTTCCTGTTAAGGGGAAGAGCGTGGAGGTGGGTCCCCACAGCCGCTCCGCGACCCTGCGCTCGCCCCGGGAACCTGCCTGCGTTTTCGGAAAACCCGCCCCGAAGGCTGAGCCCCGGGTGGAGAGGCCCTACTCCGATTCGGCACTTAAAAAAACGACGGGAGAGGAGGGTGGGTAACAGCGGGGGGAAAACCGCAGCCAAGGTCTCGGCAGGTCAGCGTCTCAGGCCCCAGGGCCGCCCACCCCGCTCCCTAGCATCCCTCCCGCCTCCCAGGGCCAGGCCGCTGTCGCCTGGCCGAACCGCAGCCCAAGACAGATACCTTCGCGTCCGGGCCGCCCAAGAAAGGCCCGCCCTTCCAGCGCGCCCCTGATTGGCTCTGCCGAGTCACGTGCTTCGGGCTCGGACCAGTTACGCGGTGGGAGTCAGGGGAGTGCTGCTGGCGTCACGTGGTTGGACGAGGAGAAAGTTGCCCCCTGCCTCCCAATCGCCAAACACGCAGACGTGTTCAAACAAAAAAAAGGCCTTATCTATAATCACCCTTGTTGGATAATACGTAACACAATATGGTATAGAACAGTAGAATGTGACCTATAACCTCTGCTAAATTTTGGTATGACTTTTCTACCAATTTTATCTATAGACTCAAAATACACTATATACTCATGTGTATGCACATAATATGCATATATGTGTACAGTGTGTATATATATATACACACATTATATATGCAGATACATCACACACCTACACAGACGTTTCTGAATCTTGTTTTTGTCCTTAACATCTCAGCAAA